GGTAGGAGGCAGACGAACAGCTGGGGAAGGATGGAGGGGCCCCGCCTTTAGCTAGCGCCTGAGCTGGAATTTAGGTAGGCTTGCGTGGCCAGAAGACTTTTTAAAAAAATTTTCCCCCGTACATTTCAGGTGTCTCAAACTCTCCCCCTAAAACTCTTTAAGGGACTTGCTCTGTCTAGCTGATAAGAATCATTTATAGCGTTTGCCCTCCCAAGTGTCTCGGGGGACTGAGTACCTGGCTGGGATGTGGAGGTGGATGTGGGAGTTCTGGGAATCCTGCTTTCCTGTGGGAACTTCTCCAGGTGCTGGGAAGGTGTTGCTACGCCACCATCTGATGCTGGGCACCATCTGACCGTGAGGCCCCGAGAGACAGCTGACCCTCTCCTGATGGTCAGCCCTCCTCACCCCATCAATCAATGTCAGCTCTCCTGTTGGAGGTGAGCTGGACCCAGGCAGCAACTGTAATGGGCGGGCTTTCTCTGCTGCCCCCATGTGGTCAAACACTAGATCAGCGCTGCCCATTTGGCGATTTCTTCAATCTCTGGTTTTGGGGTCCTAGCCCAGACACCCTTCCCTTCCTTTAGGACCCACCTCAGTGGGCACCCCTTGTGCCTGGAGGTGTGAGGAGGGCTCAAGCCCACACTCAGGCCAGGGGAGGCAGTCTCCATCTGTGTTTGGGCCTCAGTCTGGCTCCTCAGTTCCTCCCCTTGGGCCAGCAAAGCTTTCCCAGCGGCCTCCCTGCATTCTCTGGGGTCAGGGCAGCAGGTCCTGTCTGTCTGGTTCTCCCGTTCTCTCTTCCTATGACTTCCACCCGACCTGCCGCCCACCCAAGTTCTGACGCCCCTGGCGGCCGGTTTCTGCACGAGCCTCGGGATTCAGAGGCTTATTCCTGTCTACCCGCACCCCCTGAGCATCCCCGGACCTCACATGGCCTCACTTCTGCAAGCTCAGAGCCAGTGCCCATCACAGCTGTCTTCTAGGAATTCAGATTCATTCCTCCTTCTCTTTCAGGTGTTCCCTCTGCCCACTTCTTCCCCAAGATTGACCCCACCCTCTTCCTGGAGACCCCCTAGGTCTGTGCTTTCTGTGGGAGAGTCACTGCCCTGGGCTGCTGGATGTCGCAAGAGGTCTCCTTGACCTTTAGAGAACAACATACGGTCTGGTGCATCCGCAGGAGAGAATCAGAGATATCAGATGGAGCAGGGTTGGCAGAGACTGAAGCTTTCAGAGGAGGGAGTGGTCAGAATGGGCTGGAGTTTCAGGAGGAGTCTCCAGGGACAGGTGGGGGTCGAGGGGACCTTGAAGGATCGGTGAACTTCGTGATGATTTGCACACTGAGCGGAACTGGATGTTTGCCATGTTGTGCAGGAACGGCTTGTGAGTGTGAATGTGATTATGCTCATATACCTGAAGATGCAGGGCTGAGCCCCGCTCTGTCCTGGACTAGTGGAAGGAGGGCCAGCCTGCCCTGCGTTCCAGACACCGATACCTGCCTAGGGGCAAATGTGGTGGGAGCCCCTCCCCCTGCGTATTTCTGTGGCTCTGCTCTGTGCTCCCGGGATCCCCAGGGGTCCGTCCTTGAAGCCCTCTTGGCCCCTCACATCAGCTGGTGTCCTCCTCTCCTCTCCTGCTCACCGGGGACATTTACCCCACCTACAAGAAAGCCTTTATTTAAAGTTCTAGTAGCTAACGTTTAACGTGCTTTCATTTCACAGATGAGGAAACTGAAGCCCAGAGACAAGGGAGCCCTCCCCCAGGGCCACAGATGGCCACAGTGGCTCTGACTCCTTTGGGGAGTCGGATACCTTTTTGAAAACTGGATAAATGAAAAATGCAATCATTTGCATTTAAACTTTGGGGGTTCGTGGCCCCTCTAAACTTTCCCATGGGTGTCTGGACCTTGACTCCAGCACCGTGCGGGGAGCAGATGAACCAGAACCAGAACCAGAACCCAGCTTTTAGCCTCTAAGCCTAATTTTCTCTCCTCCCCACCACCCAGCCTCCTGTTTTTGTGAGAGCAGGTCTGGCCTACTTTGGAGCCCTTGGCCTGTATTTCGCTTAGGGCAGCTCTGTGCCTGGTAAAACATTTTGGGATGCGGACTTCCAGTCCTCCAGCCTGGTCTCTCCCACACCTGCTGGAAGTTAGTGGTGTGTGCCGTATGTGGAGGGGGCTTTATGGAGCAAACACTGGACTTGGAGTCTGAAGATGCAGGGCTGAGCCCCGCTCTGTCCTTGATTAGTGGAAGGAGGGCAAGTCGGGCCTGTGTTCCAGGCACCGAGACCAGCCTAGGGGCGGACGCGGCGGGAGCCCCTCCCCCCGGGTATTTCTGTGGCTCTGCTCCGTGCTCTCCTGCAGGGCCCCACCCTGGGATTCCCGGGGGTCCCTCCATGTGCTTTACGGACTGGCCCTCCTGGCCCTTCATGTCAGCTGCTGTCCTCCTCTCCTGCTCACCAGGCTGGTGGGTCCCTTTGCTTCCAGGGTCCCCAGTGGAGGTTTGCCAGTCGGGCCGGTAGAAGGTGACATTGGCTGCAAATCCCTGTGTCTGTGCCGAGGCCCCCACTACCCAGGCGTTCGTGGCACCGTCTCTGCTCTGACGGTGCCTTCTGCAGGAGCTGCTTTCCCCCTGGCTTTTGTGAGATTTGTTGTCCCCAAGGTCTCTGCCCAGGACCCCGCGTGGGTCCCGGGACTGGGCTGGAGGGTGGAGCGCTCAGAACAGCCGCTGGCCCTGACCCAGGTGTGGGCGCCTCCACACCCTCCCTGTGCCGTGGGACAGCTAACAGGAGGGCCTCAGCGTCGCCCGGAAACAGACCCCTGGCAGGTCTCCTCTGGGGTGAACCCGGAACCTTCACGCTGGCGCCCTCAGCGCCCACCCTCATCTTGATGCGGGAAGCTGCACACGTGCTCCGTCAGGGCTGGATGGTACATATTTTAGGTTTTGTGGGCCACATCCCATCTCTGTGCTGCTGCTGCTTTTCCCTTTTTTGGTAACCCTTCACAAACGTAAAACTATTATTAGCTCACAGGTTGCACAGAAAACAGGCCACAGGCCAGATCTGGCCCATGGGCTCCAGCTGGCTGACGCCTGATCTCAGGTGGGGGGTTTCACCAGGTGGGGCTGGGGGAGTCAGGGAGGGCCTCCCGCGGAGGAATCTCAAGCTCGGAGGGGAGTTAGGGGGCATGTTTTAGGTGGAGGAAACTGACAGCTGCGGTGTGGGGGCTGGGAGGGGCCAGCTGTCTCTGCAGAGTGGCTAGGACACCAGTTTGGCTGGCGCAGTGGGATTGCGAAGGCGGGGGCTGGGGGCAAGGGGTGACAGCAGCCAGATCTCAGAGGTCCTGGAAGCATCCTGAGGAGATTGAAGCCTTATTCTCACGTCAGTAGGGAGCCCTGGAAGGTTCCTGAGCACCATCCACTGCAGACTCTTCGGCCCTCGCAGGAGGAGGCACGTCTGCAGCAGCCATGGCTGTGTCAGGTTGGGAGGGCACGTGGACGTGCGGGGAAGGGGCACGGGAACTCGAGTAAGCTCTCTTCATAGTCTGGGGGCCCCGTGAGGGTAGGAGCCCCCCGTTCACACTTTGGAGCCAGAGGTGCTGTCCTCAGGGCCACTGGGGGCCAGGCTTGACAGTCTCTCTCCCTTCTCCCCACTTCCCTCCCAGGGCAGCCCATGACGTTCCCCCCGGAGGCCCTGTGGGTGACAGTGGGGCTCTCCGTCTGTCTTGTTGCTCTGCTGGTGGCCTTGGCCTTTGTGTGCTGGAGAAAGATCAAACAGAGCTGTGAGGAGGAGAATGCAGGTGAGTGAGGGGGGGTGTGTGCGCGGGTCTTTGGTTTTGTTGGTGTCCATGACATCAATGTGTGTGTCACTTTCCAGTGACAGAATGCATGTGGGTGTGCAAATGGGACTAGAGTGTGTGAGCTTGAGGCTGAACATGTCCTGTGTGTGCAAACAAGTGTGAGCCTGCCCGTGAGTGTGCAGACGTGGCAGGAAGAGTGGATATGAGTGTGACTGGGAGTGAGCGGTGCGTGTGTAAGGCTGAAGTGTGTCAAGGGGATGAATGTGTCCACACAAACAAGCATGATGGTGAGGGTGTCAGTCATGTGAGTGTGTCTGTGAGTGGGCTTGTGGAAGGATGGGGATCCTCATGCGGGTGGGTGTCTGCTGGAGGTGGTGGGTGACTGGGCTGGTGAGTGCGTGCGTGAGTGGAGGGGTCAGCTGAGTGGGGGGCTCCAGGCTGGGGTCCCTTTCATCCTGCCACAGGGCTCTGCTCCACTGGGTCTCAGCCTCCGAGCTAAGTCCGGCATTTGGACCACGGGCCAGGCCTGCTCAGCCCCACTCACCGGCTCCAGCGCCCGCAGGAGCACAGGTGTGATGATGAAGGTGGGGTTGAGGAAGCTTTTTGTTCACTCTTCCAGGAGCTGAGGACCAGGATGGGGATGGAGAAGGATCCAAGACAGGTAAGTCTGAGCCAAGAGCTGGCCCTGTTGGCTGGGGGATGGACACAGGGACGGGGAGAGGACTCCAGGGTCTGGAGGAGCTGTGTTTGCTTGAAGGTTTGAATGATGTGTGTCCCGCGGACTGAGGCCTCCCAGCCGAGGTGAGCCTGGTCTTTGGCCGGTGCTGGACCTGGAGGCGGGTCCAGGTGCTGCTTCACTCCTCCTCCTCCCTTTACCCACCTCCCAGGGCTGCTCCACCCTGAGTGACCTGCGCTGTGGGGTCTGGTGGCTTCCTGGGGGGAGGAGTGAGGGCGCGGGAGACAGGGCTCCAGCTCATAGAAACTGAGTGGCTTTGAGTAATTCATTTTCCCTCTCTAGGCCTCAGTTTCCCCCTACCTGCCTCCCATCATAGGCTGTATGAGTTAAATTGAATGAGATAATGAACATAGAGGGCCCGGCGCCACGGCTGGCACCTGTCAGGGCTTGCACTCTGCAGTCCTGGGGGTAGGGCTGGGTTTGCAGTCTGACACTGTTGCACCCTGGTTGCAGGCCGTGTGACTTTGATCCACGCGCTTTGCTCCTCTGGCTTTCAGTTTCCCGTCGGTAAAATGTCATCCTGCCCTGCCCGGATGGCACCACAGGGCTGTTCTGAAGCTCTCTCGAGTAACTCTGCGAAGGGCACAGCACTGTGGGGTCGCCAGCCTGGCTCTGGTGCCCCGCGGCCACTGGAGGCCTCGCCGCCTTCCCTTACTGGGCTCCTGGGCTGGGAGGCAGGGTCCCACTGAGCCATTTGGGGTGCTGACATGGGTTCCTTCCCCAGCCCAGCAGAAGGAAGGCAGGAGACTGACCCCTGGGGGCTGCTGTAAATTATGCCAATTAATTCTGTCTTGGGTGTCTGGGTGTGGTGGGTGTGGCGGGTGTGGTGGGTGTGGGGCAGCCCTGGGGTGGGGCCTCATTTTTCATGCTCAGAGGCAGATGTCTTTGGCAGAAGGGAGGGAGTGGGCAGGAGAGGGTGGCTTAGAGCTGTGGTCGGTCTCGGTTCTGCACAGTCCTGGGCCCACCTGGGGACATTGCAGCCTCCTTTAGCTCCCCACGTCACCCTTCCTTGTAGGGCAGGCTCACTTTCACACCTCTCACTCACAGCTGGGCAGGGGAGTTGTTTCCACTGTAAAGGTGCAGAAAACTGAGGCCCAGGAGGAGGCGTGACAAGCCGCAGAGTCTAGCTGGGACCTGGGACAGCAGCTGAGGGCCCTTTTTCTGCTGCTCTGATGTCACCCATACCCTCCCAACTCCTCACTCCTGCCTCTGCCTCCCGGGTCCGTCTAGCCCTTACTTCTTCCTCAGCTCCTGTCCCTCCACCTGAGGCCCCCCCACTTTCCACGGGTCCCCCCTCACTGTGTGTTCCTTCCTTTTTTGCAGCCCTGCGGCCTCTGAAACACTCTGAAAGCAAAGAAGGTAAAGACACGTGGTGCTCACGATTGTGTATCTGTGTCTGTGCACCTGTGTGCTCAAGACTGTGTGTATCTGGGGAGGGTTGAGGCGGCGGGGTGCCCTGAGGCTCCCTCCCAGGAAAGCAGCCTGGACTCCCCGCTGGGGAGATGGCAGAAGGCGGAGAAACCAAGGTCCCAGCTGCTCTGATAGGATGCAGAGATGACAGAGGCTTAACCCGGACAGGAGGTTAGGTGACCTTAAGGCCACTGATGTCCTGGAACCAGCTTCCATTTACCTGGTTTCTGCCTCCTTCTACTTGAAGCTCCCATCCCCAGGCCCAGGGTGGTGGCGTCAGCTCCCACAGCCCCTCTAGAAGTGAGGGGGAGAGAGGAGACAGAGGGGACATTCCTTTCTAGGGCTTGACCATAAACAGCGCCCGTCACTCCTGTTTATATCTGTTAGTCGGAACCCAGTCACATGACCCCTAACTCAAGTGAGGCTCGGAAATGTGCGTTCAGCTGGGCAGCCGTGTTCCTAGCACACAGTAGGCAGTTAATAAATGGTAGCAATCATTAGTATTCAGATTATTGTAACATCTGCAGTTACTTTCGGAAGTGGTTGGTTGGAGGTTAGTTTAATCTGAGATTCTTCTTTATTGAAAGTACCCAACAGCCACACCTATGTATGAGTGTTTGTGTATAAACATTTGTGTGTATTTTGAACAAAATATTCCTTGATGCACACTTGTCACTAAATATGAGTGGCTTCCAATTAGAAAATCAAAGGTTTTGGAACCTTAAATCTTTTGCAGGTTGCCTTGGTGTCCCTTTTAGGAAATACACTTTCACCGAATTCCTGGAGGCTCACCCCTGCATTTAGCTTTTCCCTGGGGAGAAGGGGAGGAAGGACATAGGCCCTGTGTTCAGGAAACTTCCGGAGACCGGGGTCCGTGGGGCCCTCGGGAACCTGCACAGAATTCATGATAAAAGCTGGGTGATAGGCTCTCATGAAAGGCAGCATCACGCAGGAGAAAGAGCCCCCCAGGTTGGGAGGGGAGACCGCGCTTTTGGTCTCTGCCCGGGACCTTCCAGGGGGAGTTTCCTGTCTGGGCAATGGGGTGAAATCCTGCCACACCTCCCGCACGAGGTGCCCCGTTCGGCAGTGCTCTGTGAAGCAGGTCCCAAGTGCTGCGGAGTGCTCGTGGCAGGAGTGGAGGCCTGCGTGGGGGTCTGCAGGGCTGGAGATAAGTTATCCATCTCCCTGTTGTTCTGAACCAAATGAGGCATAGAAGGATCGAGCCGATGGAGATCAGAACGTCAGTGTGGTTTCTGACATTTTGCTGGAGAGTGTGGCCTGGGTGTGCGGAGCCGTGGGCTTCCTGGTCCTGCCCCGCAGGGTGGCAGCCTGGAGCCCCTGTCTGGCCAGGATGGACAGGCACAGAGGCAGCCCCAGAAGGGAGCACTGTTCTCCTGGGGACAGACAAAGCCTGAAGGATGGGAGAGGGAAGGGGAAGTCACACATGCCCCGGTCCTTCTTCTAAATCCTCCATTCAGGTCAGGGAATGGAGCGAGGCCAGAGGTGCGAGTCCATGGGGTACCGGGCCACGTGGAGACATGATGCCAGAGGGAAGGAGGCTCCGTAGGCTCCCTACAGCACTGCTCTTGGAGGAATCAGCACGGGAAGGGGTCGCTGGAAAGGGTTTCCAGCTAGTGGAGGGAAGTGGGCCAGGTCAGGGAAGATGGGTCAAGGGACAGACGAGGCAGGGAGTGGGGTTGGGAGGGGAAAAGCGTGCCAGGTGGAGGGAAGTGTGCAGGGTGGGTGGACCCATGGGGACCCAGAAGAGGCCGGCGAGGACTGGGCTCTCCCCCAGGCACCTTCCTGGTCTGTCTTACACCAGGTTCTGGAACATTCCCAAGAGTCGAATTCCTGCACTTAATGCTTTCTCCCCCTTTATCTCCCTTCCCATCATGGAATGCAGATGATGGACCAGAAATAGCCTGACCACAAGGACCAGGGAGCTGCCGCCCCTGCCCCGGGCTCCCACCTCTGGCTGCACTGGGGCCTCAGTGTGAGCCCTGGGCTGGGGGCTTCCCTGCCCCCACAGATGGCTCCCACTTTGGCGGGTCTACTCATTCTGCAAAGGACACGATACACAGACCACCCCGCCGCCTTATTTCTCCGATGACCACAACACACAAACCATCCTGCTGCCTTACTTCTTATGGACACAATACATGGACCTCCCTGCAACCTTATTTCTCCGATGCACAAGCAACACGGACCATCTGGCTGCCTCTTCTCTCCGAAGCCGTGATCCAGTCACCCCTCGCCTTGTTTCTCTGATGGCCCTGACACACAGTTATCACTTCTCAGCCTCTTCTCCCACCTGCC